GGATTATTTGTCCATTGGTGTAAGTGAGGTGTTAAAGTCCCCCACTATTATTGTGTTACTGTCAATTTCCTCTTTTATAGCTCTTAGCAGTTGCCTTATGTATTGAGGTGCTCCTATGTTGGGTGCATATATATGTATAATTGTTATATCTTTTTCTTGGATTGATCCTTTGGTCATTATGTAGTGTCCTTCTTTGTCTCTTGTAATAGTCTTTATCTTAAAGTCTATTTTGTTTGATATGAGTATTGCTACTCCAGCTTTCTTTTGATTTCCATTTGCATGGAATATCTTTTTCCATCCCCTCACTTTCAGTCTGTATGTGTTCCTAGGTCTGAAATGGGTCTCTTGTAGACAGCATATATATGGGTCTTGTTTTTGTATCCATTCAGCAAGCCTGTGTCTTTTGTTTAGAGCATTTAATCCATTCACGTTTAAGGTAATTATTGGTATGTATGTTCCTATTACCATTTTCTTCATTGTTTTAGGTTTGTTTTTGTAGGTCCTTTTCTTGTGTTTCCCACTTAGAGAATTTCCTTTAGCATTTGTTGTAGAGCTGGTTTGGTGGTGCTGAATTCTCTTAGCTTTTGCTTGTCTGTAAAGCTTTTGATTTCTTCATCGAATCTGAATGAGATCCTTGCCAGGTAGAGTAATCTTACTTGTAGGTTCTTCCCTTTCATCACTTTAAATATATTGTGCCACTCCCTTCTGGCTTGTAGAGTTTCTTCTGAGAAATCTGCTGTTAACCTTATGGGAGTTCCCTTGCATGTTATTTGTCATTTTTTCCTTGCTGGTTTTAATAATTTTTCTTTGTCTTTAATTTTTGTCAGTTTGATTACTATGTGTCTCAGCATGTTTCTCCTTGGGTCTATCCTGCCTGGGACTCTCTGTGCTTCCTGGACTTGGGTGGCTTTTTTCTTTCCCGTGTTAGGGAAGTTTTCAACTATAACCTCTTCAAATATTTTCTCGGGTCCTTTCTCTCTCTCTTCTCCTTCTGTGACCCCTATAATGCAAATGTTGGTGCATTTAATGTTGTCCCAGAGGTCTCTTAGGCTGTCTTCATTTATTTTCATTATTTTTTCTTTATACTGTTCCATGGCAGTGATTTCCACCATTCTGTCATCCAGTCACTTATCCATTCATCTGCCTCAGTTATTCTGCTATTGATTCCTTCCAGTGTATTTTTCATTTCAGTTATTGTATTGTTCATCTCTGTTTGTTTGTTCTTTATTTCTTCTAGGTCTTTGTTAAACATTTCTTGCATCTTCTCGATCTTTGCCTCCACTCTTTTTCCGAGGTCCTGGATCATCTTCACTATCATTATTCTGAATTCTTTTTCTGGAAGGTTGCCTATCTCCACTTCATTTAGTTGTTTTTCTGGGGTTTTATCTTGTTCCTTCATCTGGTACATAGTACTCTGCCTTTTCATTTTCTGTGAATGTGGTTTTCATTCCACAGGCTATCTTGTTTCTGCTGTCTGCCCTCTGGTGGATGAGGCTATCTGAGAGGCTTGTGCAAGTTTCCTGATAGGAGGGACTGGTGGTGGGTAGAGCTGGGTGTTGCTCTGGTAGGCAGAGTTCAGTAAAACTTTAATCCACTTGTCTGCTGATGGTTGGGGCTGAGTTCCCTCCCTGTTGGTTGTTTGGCCTGAGGTGACCCAGCACTGGAGCCTACAGGCTCTTTGGTGGGGCTAATGGTGGACTCCAGGGTGTACTTCCCAGAACTTCTGCTGCCAGTGTCCTTGTCCTCACAGTGAACCACAGCTGCCCCACCACCTCTGCTGGACACCTTCCAACACTAGCAGGTAGGTCTGTTTCAGTCTCCTGTGGGGCCACTGCTCCTTCCCCCTGGGTCCTGGTATGCACGCTACTTTGTGTGTGCCCTCCAAGAGTGAGGTCTCTTTTTCCCCCATTCCTGTCAAAGTCCTGCAGTCAAATCCCACGAGCCTTCAAAGTCTGATTCTCTGGGAATTCCTCCTCCCATTACCAGACCCCCAGGTTGGGAAGCCTGACATGGGGTCAGAACCTTCACTCCAGTGGATGGACTTCTGTGGTATAATTGTTCTCCAGTTTGTGAGTCACCCACCCAGCGGTTATGGGATTTGATTTTATTGTGATTGCACCCCTCCCACCGTCTCACTGTGGCTTCTCCTTTGTCTTTGGATGTGGGGTATCTTTTTGATGAGTTCCAGTGTCTTCCTGTTGATGATTGTTCAGCAATTAGTTGTGAATCCGGTGCTCTCACAAGAGGGAGTGAGTGCATGTCCTTCTACTCTGCCATGTTGAACCAATTCCTACCAGATTACTTTTCAAGAGATCTTTAAAAATTTCTTACACCATCCTCCCTCATTTATGATTATGGTGTCCTACTTCCAGGAGAAGAGAGTTAAATTTCTTTGTGTCCCTTTTTCTTTTAACCCCCAGGTGGTCTTGCTACAAATAATTGAGGGTATCCCTTACCTCGCCCCTGAACTATGAGAGATTTTATTTTTACTTAATTATAAGGCAACTTATTCTTTTCCTAGAATAATTTTGAGTGAAAGGCTTCATCTCTTGTATTTGAGCACACCTATCGCCTGTATATAAACTCAGCAGTTGGGACTGCAGACGGATGTCTGTTCTTGCTTAATTACACATTTGTATACAAATACTTGACTACTTCATCATAAGAAAAGAGAGCTCCTCACACCCTACACAGGACACAGGGAAGAAGTTCAGGGTAAGTCAGAGTTTCTCAGCTCTGGCTGCTTGTTGCAGTCACCTGGAGAGCTTTGAAAAATACTGATGCCCAGTGCATCCTCCAGGGATACTGATTGATTGGTCTGGGACATCAAGACCTTTCAACGCTCTCCAGGTAATCCCATGCAGCAGATCCCAACCTGAAGCCACTCCCTCCGAGACGCCCTCCAGGTGGAAATCACGTTGCTATGACACTTGTCCCATGTTCCAGGTCTCCAGTTGGTGGGAACCTACTCATGTGACATCACTCTTCCACTGCAGCACCCCTCAAATTTCCAAATGCTCCAGTACCAACTCCTGAGGTCTGGGGTGGAACCCAGCAATGTGCGTTTATCATACACAAAGGATTCTCAAGGCTGTGAGCAGCCCTTGATGGATTTATCCAGAAGATGGATATGAAGCCAGGCACACAGCCTTGCCTGTCCTGGAGAACCCATTCTGGTTTGAACACGCCAGGACTCTCAAGGGGGGTGGGGGCGTTGGCAGCGGAGGCGATGGGGCACTTGTGGTTTTCCTACCTCTTTTGTGATTTGAAAAGACTGGGCCCCATCAGAGCACCATGCCCTCTGAACTCTTTATCCTTCTAAAGTGAAAAAAAATATGATCCTGCTTGTTAGACTAGAAAGCAGAGGAATTCACCTGAGACGCAAAAGCCCCTTTGGGAGCGCAGTTGATGGCCACTTCTCATGGATGAAGGGATCCACGCTGAGCCTGTGCAGGGTAACCCCTCACAGACCCCCAGGGAAGGCCCTTCCTCCAACACAGGCCATGGTCAGACCCAAGGGGAGGAGAGAGGGAGGCACATGATCCAGATGGCACCTGGCATCCTCACCACATGTGGCATTCAGAGGAAAGGTCCTGCTCCCCTCTCTCTACCCTGAGGTGCCAGTGTTAACTCCAGCTGGGCTACTACACCTGTGGTCTTTGCTTTATTAAAGTTTTGCAGAGTGCTCTCAGAACCCCGTAAATCATGGGTTGTGAGCATGTGTGCTGGGGGACCCCAGGTGGAGAGAGTACACATGTGGACCAGGCTCTCTGGCTGGGAGGAGACCAACTTAATGGAGAGACGGTTCCAACGGCTCCCTGGAAAACAAGCAAGGGCCAAGGGGCTAGCAAGCAGGATGGGGGAGTGGTGCTGGATACCTGGCAGGTTCCCTGTCAAACACTTTAAAGGAGCCCGAAGAGGAATGGCAAGAAGAGCAGGAGACAGAACACATAGTAAAGTCTTAAAAGGCCACTCACTGGGAATGCAGGATGGTCTGCTGAACTAAATACATTGGTTTGGTTTTAGCACACCCACATCTGCAAATGCTGGAAATGCCAACTAGGGATTGGGTGTCTAAATTAAAACTGTTAGCCCCAATATTAGTCCACAAGTCCGTTATGCAAGAAAGGTTGCACTTCTTCATTTTCTGTAACTTTACTTAATTCTGACCCCCAACCCTCCAGGCTTGTGGAAATTCAGCCCCATCATTATTGGGCTCCTCTCCACACCCAGGGCTGGACAAAGGCCCAGGAGCCTCATGTGGCACACAGTGCCAGGGAGATCCCTGTGGCCATCAGGTTCAGTCCCTCCTGGGTGCCAGCAAGCCACCCTGCTCACTGGAGAATTTCAAAACCCAGATGGTTCTCTGCTTGGAACAGGCATGAGAGGGTGGGAGGTGAAATGCAACCAGCATAAACTAATATTTCAACAATTGTGTCTTAGCTCAGGCTGCTGTAACAAAATACCACAGGCTGGGTGGCTTAAACAACAAGACATTTATTTCTCACAGTTCTGGAGGCTGAGAAGTTTGAGGTCAAGGTGCTGGTGTATTTGGTTCTTGATGAGGGACAACTTCCTGGCTTGCAGATGGCTGACTTGTCATGTGTCCTCATGTGGTGGAGGGAGAGAACTCTGATCTCTCTTCTTCTTATAAGGACACCAATCTCATCATGGGGGCCCCACCCTCATGACCTCATTTAAACCCAATTACCTCCCAAAGGACCTACCTTCAAATGCCATCCCACTGGGGGTTAGAGCTTCAACACGTAAATGTTGGGGAGACACAAACATGCAGTCCCTAACATCTTGAAACAGTTTTCCATCAGGCAGCTGGTATGCAGCCAAGCCCTCTTGTCTTGCAATTATTTCTAGCACGTAGGAATGACATGCAGGGGCCTGACCCAAGGGTGCTATGATGTGAGACCATTGTCAAAGCCCCTCAGCCTGGGATGGGCCCCTAGCTCAGCTGTCCCCAGCTTAGCTCTCCCTGTCTCTGGCAGTGCTCGTCGACCTGTGGAAAGGGCCTGCAGTCCCGTGTGGTGCAGTGCATGCACAAGGTCACTGGGCGCCATGGCAATGAGTGCCCTACCCTCTCCAAGCCAGCAGCCTACAAACAGTGCCACCAAGAAGTCTGCAATGACAAGATCAATGTGAACACCATCACTTCCCCTCGCCTCGGTGAGTGCCTCTGCTGGCCCCCAGCTCCTGGGGCTGCTGCATCGCCTGGCCAGCAAGTCCCCACTGGCAGTGGGAGTTCTATAAGCCAAAAAGCCCCCTCCTTGGGGCTTATTTGAGTTCTGGAGAGGCTAACGTGTCAGTTTTGTAGAGGATCTGAGGTTTCAGAGATGGAATTTCATCCTTGTCATGAAAAAGATGTTTGTTTACTGTGGTCTCAAACACTTGAGCCCCTCTGCCAACAAATGAGGAACACAGGAGAATGTTCCTCAAGTGTTTTGGGATTCCTGTGCATGAAGGAGGCAAAGGGAGGTGCATCCTTCAGGAAATGAAGGATCTGGGGGTGTCATTCATGAAATCTTGGTGATGTGTGCATGGAATGTTCCTCAAGCTAATGCTTGAGAAGAAAACAGAGGTGTTGACAGGTTGGAGTCTTTAATTCAGCAGGGAGCTTTTGTGTGAGCAGCTTGGACCCGAGTGTTCCAAACCCAGCCCTTTACCAGGCCACATCCCCAGCCAGTGGTGGCACAAAAAGAAGAATATCTAGCACTGATCTGATGATTCTATTGAAAAGAGTTTCTGCTTTTCCAATTAGAAACTCCTAGGGAACTTTTTCCCCACCCAGTGCCCCTTTCCCTAATGCTAGAATGCCACCAACATGAAGGGGATTTCCAAGCAGCTTCACTGGGGGGGGGTCTTTGAGCTTGCAGAGGTGTACACCAGGCTTTTGCATGCCCTCAGGCTGGACCATCTCTCTGCACTACCAAGAGCCTGAAGGAGATTCAGACCACCTGCCTGTGCTGTGACCTTGTGCTTTTGTGGGCCCTTTGATATCTACTGCCCTGTGCCATTCTGTTTTATCAATGCCAACAGATAACGTTCTCCGCCACAAAATAACAGTATACACCACTTAGCTCAGAAGTGGGGGGGGGGGGCAGTGCCCTCGCCTTGAGGAGGCAGCCAGACCACTGAACTCTGCCAAGTGGTCAGGTTGGATCCAGAGTGTGTCCCTTGTATAAGAAAGCCACATCCACAGTGGCCCTGGCAGGGGCATGGTTTCCCCGGTCTGTGCAAGGCTCCAGTGTACACATGGGTAAGGGCAACCCCGACTATGTCAGACTACAGGCCATCTGTGTGCACATGATGACGTCCCCAGGCCACCCATAACCTCTGGGCTTTCTCTCTCCACTGTCCCCTTAGCTGCTCTGACCTACAAATGCACACGGGACCAGTGGACAGTGTATTGCAGGGTCATCCGAGAAAAGAACCTCTGCCAGGACATGCGGTGGTACCAGCGCTGCTGCCAGACATGCAGGGACTTCTATGCGAACAAGATGCGCCAGCCACTGCCGCCACCAAGTTCATGACAGGCGGCCAGTGGTCCCACGATGCTCTGACATGAGGTCTGAGTCCTGACGACATGGCTAGTTGAAAGCCCACCCACCTGAGAGCACACCAGTCCTGCGGCTGGGACCCCCAAAGCACACCACGGCTCACCCAGGAGGCTGTCCCAAGAACCCAATTGCTTAGAACCTGAGAGTGGACTTGACGTTTGCTTAGTGCTTTTATACTTAATATATTGTTAACAGCCACTGGATGGCTTTCTACGGTAAGGAAAAAATAGGCATGAGTCACAAAATAGCTGTAATTTCTAAGGTTCCACGTACCTCAAAGGGAACACCTCTGACAGAAATCGTCAAGAGAAACGTCACAGGCGCCCCTGTCTTGGCTTTCCTCTGACGTTTGAATTCCCAGTGCTTGGTGTATCGGGGGAGGGGGAGGATATCCAAAAAACGGAGACGTTTTACTTTAAAGCAGGCTTTATTCTGAAAGCCCGTGACACCCTGGATGGATGGAGGCTTCTCTGGAGAGGCCGGGCTGCTGGAGCCCCCTTGACACCACAAGGACCAGCACGTGGCCCCTCCACCCTGTCAAGGAAAGTGCTCTCTAGATCGCGGCTTTTCCTTGGAGGTCTTGTCCCTGAGAGTCTGAGTCTGTGTGAATTAAAAAGGACGCTAGGGCTGTGTAGTTCTGCATACCACCTATGTGGGGGAGAATATTCCAGAAGGGCTTGGGTTTGGGGACGTATCTAGTTTTCAGATCTCTGTTGTCCCCCACACAGGGAAACAGAAGAGCCTCTCTTCAAGGTGCTGTGAGAGGAGGCACGTGCTAATTTTGGCCTTGGGATTGCTTCCTGGCATAGAGGTGAGCTCAGGGCAGCTTTGGGAGGGGTGGAGGGGCTCCCCCTCTGCTTCTGGGGACCTCTGTTCTAGCCAGTACTTCATAAAGCTTTGCACCTTAGAGATGGCTTCCCATTAACCTTGGCCATCTATCTGAAGTTGATTCTTCTTAGAACCTCTGAAGACTCAGGCTCAGGCCTGGCGCTTCACCCTGGCACGGGGCAGGTTTCCTCCAGGACTGCTCAGCCTAGTGCCAGGATGGGTGGAGGAGTGGCCCGTGGCCAGGATGGCCGCATACCCACCCAGCCTTCCCGTGGCCCAGACCTTGCAACGTTCGTCATTGTCATGCTGTCGTTGTTGACCCGTCTTAGTGGGTCAAGAATGACACTCAGAAAATCCGGAAGAAGGTATTTGCCTCCTACAGACACCTCACCCCTCAAAACAGAACTGTGCCCTCTCTGGAGCCCAGGGAGATGAAAAGAGTGTCCTCTGTGAAAGCACAGAAGATGGTAGGACCCTGCCCGCCCGGGAGCTGGGAGGAGGGGACCCGACATGCTGGGAGGTCTGGTCTGCTGACCAACTCGGTGGGCCTTTGATGGGTGCTTATATTCAAGGACTTTATCATGAGAAACCCACCCTCTCCTCCCTTATTTCAGAGGGGATCTTACTTAGGCTAATCTCCATGGGATCATCTCCAAGTGCTTCTTGATTTACTGGTGCTGTGTTTATGTATCTGTGTTTGAGTTTTTGATGTCACAACTTTAGAGTCAGCTTAAATCAGAAAGAAAAAGAAACACTCTGCCACCCAAGCCCGTCGTATGGGCTGTGTTTTGGTTTGTGATTTTTTACTGCCCCAGAGGCAGAGAAGTGGTAGGGATGGCAGGGAATCTATTCAGTTCCACTTGAATCTGTGAGAAGTGTTGAGAAAACTCCTTAGATGTTCTGTGGAAAGACCCCAGAGGGTACCAGGCTGGGGCAGCCCACCTGCAAGGTAACCTCCAGCGGCTGCCCAGGGCCTGTGCAGAACGCTGTCCTCCCTGCTCTGGCTTGGCCGCGAGCAGACTCCCCAGGCCCCTCAAAGTCTTGGGGAGCTAGGGCTCAGTTTTCCCCCAGCCCCAAATGGGCTGTACTTTACCACAGATGAACAGAAAGCTCTCAGCCTCGGGGGCTGAGGAGCAGAGTCGGGGCAGCAAGCTAAGGAAGCCGGGGCAGCCTTGCTTACTGTCTGCATGGGAACCATGGGCCCACCTGAGCTGGGCAAGCATATGCACATGCCCAGAGGCAAGCCCTTTGCCTGGTGCCTCTGAATCTCCCCCCTGGCCACCTTGACGGTATCAACTGGACGCCCCTGGCAAGGGCCCCACACCCTCAGAATGCAAATGACTGATTCAATTATTGTTAAACATCCCTTTGGTTCCCCAAAGTTTGGGTCTTTCTGAGCTCTTTTAGCTCATGCTGGCACTGTCACTCTGAAATTCACCAGCCCGCCTTCTGTTCCCTTCACAAGCAATGATCAATTTCAGTGAAGCCATCATAGCACTCTTGTTCCACTTTGTACAGAAGACAATGAAACCCTGTCATTACAACAGTGATGTTTCTTTATGGTTAACAATACCCTGTACTGTCACTCAAGTACTGTACCTTTTTGGTTGCACAAATGTGTTACTAACTACAGAGTCTCACAATCTTATGGTGCTATTTTCATTGGTGCAAATGAAACCCTCTCAGTTGACCATGGCTTGATATTATCAGAACACAGGGAAAGATCCTCAATGGCAGTAATATCATTGCTTTGTTCTCTTTTCTTCATTTCAGAGTCAAATGTATATATTTTCCATTAGCTAACTTACATTACGTACTGTACCCATGGTATTTTTGTTTTACTTTTTGGTGCTGGTTTGAAAGAAAAGAAAAAAAAAGAACAGAAGACAAACATTGGACACCACTGTAAATGAAAAATTAAGCATTTCATTGGAAGTGAGTTGAATATGTTTAATAAAATGTTCTTCCATAACAATTTTAAGCTGTCTGTGAAGTAAAAGATAAAAACCAGTCCTCGAGGGCTGACAGAGGGAGGCTGCGTCCTTTCCTTCTGCAGTGGTCACACCACTTGCCTAGGACTTGGCTGCAAGAACTGCAGCCTGCCAACCACAGCTGTGGACAGTGTCAAAGGTCACTGGTAAATGCAGTGCTGGCGGGTGGCTGCATCTCCCCAAGTGAGTGCTAACAAATCATTCAGTCCTGGGTCTCATCCCTGTGTGGTTGCAAAACCCTGGGTGGGGACATGAAAGTGTGACAGCTGTACAGTGAGTCTGTGAGTCTGATACAGAGCAGCTACCTCACTGGTGGAGCTGCCCAGGCTCCATGGGGGTGCAGTGACCCCTCTGCAGGGGGCCTCTATCATGCCAGAATGGGTACCTGCTCTCTACAACCTTGCCTCTTCAAGCTTTAGACCCCACCCCAATCCTGCTGGCAGCCCAACAGCTCCCCCACTCCTGCAGGTGTGAGCCAGACCTGGCCCTTCCTACTTCCCAGTCTGGGGACACAGCAAGGGCACCACACCATCATAATGAGGACCACTGCAGCCATTTGGACCCCATCTGGACCTGACATGGAGCAGGGATGTCACAGCTCCTGCTCTTGGAGGGGGTTGTCTCCTCCCGGTGTCAAGGGGAAAGGGCTCCCCACCCAAGAACTTGGAGGTTCATTAGATGGAGCGCCTCTTTTTAGTGTTGGAGCAACACCCAGAAATTTCACAAAATAAAGACCATTTGTTTAATCGACGACTAACTGCCCATGGCCCCCTGGTTACCAAGAAACCTGTAGTTTGTGTTAATTCCCAAGAACCATCAGCCACCTGCCTCTGGGACCCATTAGAACCCTTTCCTCGCTCTGAGAGTTCTGATCTCTCTTCTGGGTTAACTTCTAACAGCCCTGATGCTATGTGATTTCTTTATAAGCTGCTTGGATTCCAGTTTGTTAGACGAAATTGACAAGCAATCAATCAGCAAGTGCTGAGTGAGCTTCTATTAGGAGCCAAGCACTTCCTGGAGCCACCGAGAACACAAATGGACACAAGACCTGCTCTGGAGCCCACAGCCCCTCAGACAAGCCTGGAGTCCTGGACAACAGAGAATGAGTGAGAGCTGCAGGAACTCCAAAAAAGAAAGGTCAGGACTTCCCCTGTGGGTCTGTTGATTGCCCTCTGGATACAGGCTAGGAGGCTCGGCATTGGAATCCTTTACAGTGACGCTCACAGTGACGCTCGCCCTCTGCAAAGGCTTTTGGCAAAAGCCCCTGTGTTTGTACTTCTACACAAATCTGCCTGCATCTATGTCCTCCTTCTCTGTCTGACAACTGACCCCATCCTCATGGAAGGCCAGCCCTCACACCTTTAATTCATCCCCCATTGCTTCTCTACACTCTGTCTCTATCTCCAAACTTTCATTAACTCTCCAGACCTCTCCCCTGGCTTTTGCCCCCTGCACTGCACTGACACTGTTCTTGACAGGTCACCAGTGACCTTCTGGGTATCATTTGCAGACATTTTAGGGTCCTATTCTCCACCTCTCAGCAGCCCTCTTCCTTGGGACATCCTCTTCTCCTGACTTCTCCTCCTCCTTCCTAGCTCCCCTTCCTCTGGCAGCTCTCTAGATGACAGAGCGCTCCAGAGCTAAGCCCTACACTCCCTTCTCTCTATATACTTTCTCAAGTATATAGGCTTGAGAAAGTATACTCAAGCTCAAGGCTTGAGTCTGGCTCATGGCTTGAGCCAGACTCAAGGCTTTTAAAACCAGGTGCATTCTGGTATCTCCAAAATTAACCTCTTCTGTCCTGGCCTCTCTCTCGACCTCCATATTCATACATGACCTCTCCATATGCACAGTCAATCCCATGGGAAGCCCTGGGACTGGGACAGCCCTTCAGAGTCATTCCAGATCGGAGATTCAGTGGGGATGGCTCACCTCTCCTCCATGTGGGATCATCTGGGGTGGCTCCAAGGACAAGTAGAGGCTGGGATTATCAGAAGACTCACACACTTGCATATCTGGCAGCTGATACCAGCCTTTAGAACTTCAGCTAGGACTTGCAGAACACCTACAAGTGGCATCGCCAAGGGGCTGCTTAGCAACCCTGAAGTATGATGGCAGAGTTTCAGCGGCAAACACCCTGAGAGAGAGAGATGGGGACACTCATGAGAACCGTGTCACCTCACATGACAACTCAAAAGTTACACAGCATCACTTCCACCATCCTTACAAAGGCCCACTCAAGTTCAAGAGAAGGGGACAAAGAGTCAGCCTCTTACCGAGAGAATGGAAACGTTCTGGATGAGCAGGTGAGATGGGAAAAATTGTTGTGGTCATTTGGGGTAAGATTCACACACCCCCATATGCAAAATACACTCACCCCTCTCCCATCCTACCCCCAAAGTCTCATCCTATTTCAGCATTATGTTCAGACTCAAAGTCCAGGGTTTCATCATCTAAGTCAAGTGCAGGTGTGTGCAGACGGGCTTCCTCCCGTGGATCCTCAGATACAGCTTCCTGAGCAGTTTCTCTCAATCGGAAGATCAGTGAACTCAAAAGAGACATTATCTCCACCCAGTTCCCAACACCGAAGAGAAAATGGTGGGACAGCATGGGAGCACCGCTGTCAACACTCCCTACTTAAAAAGGAGGGGAAGCACATTGCAGTCCCTTTCCGTAACAGTTCTGAAGTCCAGCCTGGTGCACGTGGTCAGTCCCATTAGGCTCAGCCCTGCTGCCTGGGAATGATTCTCCCTGGGCTGCCTCCAGACCCAAAGAGGCTTGCTGATTGTTGTAAGCCACTCTTAATGGAAAGGGAAGCAAGATTCAATCAAATGCCCTTTCCTTTGGAGAGGATATCCTGATATGCCCCAGACCACTGGACTCCTAAAAAACTTCACTGATGTGATGTTTCCTTGATTCGTCCTGGGGCTTATCTCCCACGCTTTAGAGTGCAGATACTGTACTAAGGCCTCTTCTTCCTCGCCTGGTCTGATTAACTGAATGCCATGGACACAGCGGGTCAATGCAGATTCTGTGGAGGGTGTGTACAGTCCAGGCCCTTTGGGGCTACACTGTAACAGAGTGGGAGAGTTAACATAGCCCTGGGGAAGACTGAGCATAAGTGGGTACTGGTGTCTGTCACACATGAATGTGAACTGGGTCTCCTTTCTAAAGGGATGGAAAAGAAAACACTCGCCAGCTCAACAGTCATACATCTTGTGTCTGAACATTGTTAATCTAGCACAGCAGTGCGTTTGGGGCTAATTATTGGTTATGATTGTGCTAGTCCACTGTCATGTGACAGGACCCAATCTAAATTCTGTAGGGGCCAGACTGATGACTTACAAGGGGATATAATGGGGTCTTTAAGTGTTTCACTAAAATACTCCATTCTCACCGGGTTACAACATTGCTGTTGATTTACTATCCTGCCTGGGGAGAGGGAGGCAGTTTCACAGTATAACGTGTGTCTTCCTATGACAGTTCTCTATCCCACTGGCCAAGGACCAGGTTTCATCCATACCAAGTGTACATTCAGGGACAGGGGAAATAATCACTGGTTGACCGCAAGGGCCCACTGGGTCCACTGTGAACCAAACATGAATCAGGACTCCATTTATTACATGAACTCCACCCCCCTTCACTCTTAAAGAAGGACCAGGATAACACTCTGGGACCTCAGCAACAATATCAACTTGGATCCTGTGTGCAGCAGGTAAATTGATTAATGATTAATCATTCTCAGCATTTTTATTATCTTTCTCCAGTGCATCCATAACACTCAGCAACAGCCATTGAATTTCTTTACCTTATAATTTCTATTTCCCTGTTTCTTTCAAATGACTGAGATACTGCACTACCAGTGAAAGTTTTAACCATTACCCTTTTTGGATGCCAGGGGCATGGGATCCTTGTAGCTGGCAGGTGACGCAGGTCTAAAATCCTATAGGATTTTAGATTCCTAGGATTTCTGATTCCTAGGACTATTCCTGGTACCAGCTGTCTTAGTTTGCATTCTTGGGAACCCAAACTAAGATGTGTGGAGATGTCTGGGCAGAAGGTTCATTGGGAGGTGCCCTCAGGAACACTGATGGAGTGAGAGAAGCAGGCTGGGCACGAATGTAGAATGGCTACATTCGTAACAGGGGCTCAAATGATCCCATAGGGAACTTTGGAGCTGGAATGCTCTTTCAAAGTTGAGGCAAGGCCTTGGAGTATCATTGTCTGCGAGCTGCTCTGGAAAGGGGGTGTAATCTCGAGAGTCAGTTCCCTTATGTTGAGAGTGAGGTTGGGGATAGGCTCAGCCGTGAGTCAGCCAATGCTGCTGGCAGCTGGGGGCATGAGGGCCGTAAGGGGCATCAGCGTGACACACCGCAGCATCCACTGCATGCCTCAGACCTAGATTTTGCAACACAAAATTCCCAATCTCCTCCCTCTCACACACTCTTTTTACTCCGGAGGCTTCCCCATCTCAGTAAAGGGCACCAGTATCCACTAATGTCTGACATCAAAACCTCAAAGTCATCCTGTTTCCTCAGTTTTGCTCTCCACCCAGTCCAATGCAACCACAAATACCATTTGTTCTGCCTCCAAATTAAGTCTCTGGTCTGTCCGCTTCTTCCTGTCTCACTGGCCACCACTGTGTGGTAAGTCACAAACCTCACCCCAGGACTCCACAAAAGCTTCCCAGCGACCTCCCTCCCTCCTGACTCTCTCCACACCCTAGTCAGAGTAAGATTTCAGAAACATAAATCATGGCCTTCCCCACTTAAAACCTTTCATTTGCCCCTGGAGTTTTCTCATCTCAAGCCCTGTGTGATCCGGCTCCTGCTGTCCTCTCTCACCCCACACACTCCGCTTTCTGTCCAAATCCTCCACCCTTGTCCCCACCCTTGGGCCTTTGCAGGTGTCTTTCCCTCTCTTTGCAATGTTGCCACCTGCCCCCAGTTCTTCCCGTGGCTGGTTATCTGCATCCTTTGTGTCA